GAAAGAGACACAGAGTCCAAGGGAGCATGTGTGTTTAGTCCGCAGACATGGGAGGGCTTTCCTCTGCAAACTGCCCCAGGCACCCCCAGGCCAGTTCAGGCACGAACAAGGCCCAGGTATGGAAGGAAGAGTGGCGAGCAGCAGTCTGTAGACCCAAATGACTTCTGACTGAACACATCCCTGGGCAGTACGGCGTATCCCTAGCACAGCACCTGGCGGCCCCAGGGTGACAGACCAGCTGATATCTAGAGGGCACCACTCTTAAAGAATCCTAGGAAGGGGACCAGTAGATGGCATAATGGTCATGTTATTGGACTCCCGTGTAGTCCACCACGGTTTGAGTCCCGGATCTGGTGGCTTAAAACACACCAGGCATGTGTGTGTGCATGACCAAAATTCCAAGAGGAGAATGGAGGAGAAGCGATTATGGCGTGGCCATTCCCTCTCCCTGGTGGGTGTGTGCTTTCTGTCTCTATGGCGAGCACACATGCCCTATAGCAAAAATCTCTCTCTCAAGGAAAGAAAAAAAAAAAAAGAACTCCATCCAGGAGAGGGTGCCAATGGCAAGACTGGACTTCCCAGGGTGTAACCCAAACCTGCGAGTGGCAGTGTGTGGGCCTGGCCCCTGCTGAGCACTTGGCAGTTTGCACTGGGGCCCCGGGATGACGCCCCTCAAACACGTGACCGTGGCCCCAGAAAAGGAGAGCATTGACCAGCAGCAGAAGGAAAGAACGTTTGGCTGTAGTAAAGTATCTGACGATGCCAAGATTTGAGCTCCTCCTGCAGAGGAAGAGGAAGCGCTGAGAACCAGGACAGCATATCAAAGCCAGAGCAGAACAGTCCTTGGCGGGGAGCTGGGTGAGCCCAGGGTCTCCCTCCCCTGCACTGCTGGCCACTTCGCTGTCCTCCTTACTCAGGAGAGATACCGGTTCTGGATCTCCTTACTGAGCACGCTTCTTCATGGGGAAAGCTCTTCCACTTGCTCCACCTTTTGAGGACACATCAGCGTTCTTCCTGCACAAATATCCTGGCAGCTACCAGAGGCATCCTCATCTCTCCTATTTTAATGGGGTTTCCGCCCACATTTTCACCTCTAAGCAACAGCTAGATACTAATGCATGCTGTCATCTTTCATGGTAAGGAAATAGCCCCTATTACTAAGCCTATTGACCACAAGTTGTTATTAGGAGCGAATGTTAAATTTTCCATGTCTTTTTAGTCTCGGTCAAAATGACAGATGGACTTTCTTCCCTGACCCAGTAGTATCATTTTGTGCATTCTGTGGTTTACTAATACCAAACCATTGCTTCCCACTAATACTAATACTTCCCACTGCTGATCTAGTTGTGGCTGGTGATTATTCTTTTCTATACTGGTAGATTCTGTTGGCTAGTACCTTCTTTAGGGTCTCTTTTTTTTTTTTTTGGAGAGATTTTCACTATAGGGCGTGTGTGCTTGCCAGCCAGCCAGAGAGAGACATAGAGAAAGAAAGCAAGAAATCACCCCGCAGGGGGGATGGTCACACCACAATCCCTTCTCCTCCATTCTCCTCTCGGGATCTTGGGCACGCACGCACACGCGCCTGGCGTGAGTTTTAAGCCACCGGGTCCAGGACACGAACAGCGATCGACTACGTGGTAGTCCAGCGACATAGCCATTACGCTAACTGCCGGTTCCCTTCTTTAGGGTCTCTACCATTATAGTCACGAGTGAAACTGGCGTCTGCGTTCTTTGTGCATCTGCCAGGTTCAGTTATTGCACATCGCTCTGGAACGAGCTTTGCTGGTTGCACTCTCAGCCTTCCCATTAGTGAGCTGTAGCTCTCGGGGAAGATATTTCGCCTCCTTGTACTATGTAGAGCAGAGATGAAAAAGTAACCTCTCTCAAGAATGCCATGAGGGGGACCAGCAGTTAGCGTAATGGCTGTGTTGCTGGACTCCCATGTAATCGACCGCGGTTCAAGTCCCGGACCCAGTGGCTTAAACTCACGCCTGGCGCGTGTGCATGTGTGCCCAAGATCCTGAGAGGAGAATGGAGAAGGGATTGCAGCATGGCCATTCCCCCTGGGGGGTGATTTCTTGCTTTCTATATCTCTGTTTCTCTCTGTCTTTCTGGCAAGCGCACGTGCCCAATAAGAAAAAACCTCTCCAAAAAGAGAGAGGAAAAAAAAAAAGAATGCCAGGAGGGGCCTGGCAGATGGTATAGTGGTTTTATCTCTGGACTACCACATGGCTAACCATGGTTTGAGTCCCAGACCCGGTGGCTTGAAAATTACACCGGGCATGAGTGTCCAAGATCCTGGGTAGAAAAGAAGGAAAAGGGATGGCTGTGACCATCCCCCCTAGGGGGTGATTTCCTCACTTTCCCTCTCCCCGTCTGTGTGTGTGTGTCTCTGTCTGGAGAATGCAAAAACCTCTTAAAAACAAAAAACAAAACAAAACAAAAAAAACCTGTATAATTATCCTTTTTAAATTCAGTTTTTGGGGGCCAGAAGGTGGCATGCTGGTTAAAGCACTACTCCTACATGGCTGGCCATGGTTTGAGTCCCAGATCTAGTGGCTTGCTTTGTCACTCTCTCTCTGGTGAGAGCATGTGCCCTACGGCAAAGTAAAACTGTGATAATAATAATGATAATAACTAAAATGAAAAGAAATAATCTTGGGAACCAGCAGTTAGCGTAATGGCTATGTCGCTGGACTCCCATGTAGTCAACCGCGGTTCGTGTCCCAGACCCGGTGGCTTAAACTCACACCAGGCATGTGTGCGTGCGTGCCCAAGATCCCGAGAGGAGAATGGAGGAGAAGGGATTGCGGCGTGACCATCCCCCCTGGGGGGTGATTTCTCGCTTTCTGTCTCTCTGTCTCTCTCTGACTGTCTGGCGAGTGCACGTGCCCTATAGTGAAAATCTCTCAAAAAAAAAAAAAAAAAGAAATAATCTTTAAATGAATTAATTGAATTCCAGCCCATTCATTCTTTGCTATCTGATGTTAGCACTGCCTCTTTTACTTAGTGTTTGTTGACTGCCTTTACTTCGGTTATAGAGGAAGTCAAGCTTCCAAGCACAGACTACAGAGCTGCCGCCCAGCTCCACCCCTGCCTTATATACAGTCTAGAGTCTCCTTGGCAAATCACCTCACCTCTCTGTACCTGTTTCTTCATGTACAGAAATGAAAGAACTCAGACTAGTAGTGGGCACAAAGGTCGACTTGATCATGGTACAACAGTTACTGCAGGAACTAGAACTGAGCTTTTCTTAACACTTAACAGGGATAGGTTTTTGGTTTTTGTTTGTTTCTTGTCATAGGGCACATGTGCTTGCCAGAAAGAGACAGTAAGAGGGAAAGTGAGAAATCATCCCTCCCAGGGGAGATGGCCATGCCATAATCCCTTCCACGCCATTCTCCTCCAGGGATTTTGGGCATGCATGCACACACATAGCCCAGCATGACTGCCAAGCTGCCATGTCCAGGATTTGAACCATAGTTGACCATGTGGGAGTCCATAGGGCACATATGCTTTCCAGAGAAAAAGAGACAGAAAGAGGGAAATCACCTCCCCGGGGGATGGCTATACCACAATCCCTTGTCCTCCATTCTCTTGGAATTTTGGGTATGCATGCACATGCACCTAGTGTGATTTTCAAGCCCCTAATATAGGATTTGAACTGCAGTAGGCCATTTGAGAGTCTAGCTCCTTAACCACCACGCCAAATCTGGCCCCACTTGTGTTTTAAAATAAAGATGATCGACGAAAAACATAGCATATCTTCAGTCAATGACTCGTTGACTCTGCCGTAGGAAGCCAAAGGCTCCGTTTCTGGGGTGGAATGCTTTCTTTAATGGGCAAGAAACCCCATTTACGTCCTCCCATGGGCACAGGCTGCTCCTCTGACAGGGGCTGTTAGGTACAAGCCAAAATGTGACCAGCTGCTCAGAAATAGGAGATGGAAATACCGTATACTCCTGCATGTATACAGGGGACCACATCCAACTCAGAGCACCAAGTAGCTGGTTTCCCCTTTCATGAAAGGGGACGTCAAATGTCAGAGACATTACGTAATTTGCCCAAATAGTGCCTTTGTCAGAGTCTAGATGCAGAGCTCATGTTAAGTTTGAACTCTCTGCTTAGGAGAGTGATGAGATCTGGCTTTGCTTCCCTCTCCTGTATCTATGGGAATCTACTACTGAGAGGTTCAGATGGTGGTGAAATGGTGAAATGCAACACTCTGAGGGGCCGATCCACATTGGAAGGTTCTGGGTACGATTCCAGAGACCTCCCTAAGTATGTTAGTCAGGTGCATGCCCATGGTGGAGATCTGGCAAAAACGGGGAGTGGATCACCCCTTTTTGGGGTGCTGTCTCTCCTTTCTCATGGTATATACTTTTAAAAAGAAACAAAACCCAGGACTGGCCAGTGTTGTGGTGGTTAAGGACGCTGGAGTCCCATGTGGTCGACCACAGTGTAAGTCTCAGACTAGCTTGCTTTCTTGCTTTCTCTCTCTCTCTCTCTCTCTCTCTCTCACTCACTCACTCACTCTGTCCTTCTCTGGTCAAATTTAAATAAGTAAATAAAGTTAAATAAAATAATTCTTTAAAAAAAAATAAATCTACTATTTCCCAAAATGGATTCTACTAAAATCGTACTTAGGACATGCTAGACCGAGGAGGGCCGATCTGGCACCAGCAGCAACCTCTGCCACACAAGGTTGGGAGTCTTCCTCACCCACGGGGCAAACAGCCTTGGGCAGGAAGTAAGAAAACCCTAGAAGTGCTTCCAACAAAAGCTGCTTACCTTGTAATGAGCCAGCTGGAGGGCGAGCTGGACAAAAGCGTCTGGGCTTGTCCGGCACTTCTTGATTACTCCTTTACCGAAGGCATCGAATGGGAAAGAG